ATTATATTCCGAAAATGTTATGTACAGGTTGTACATATATTTTTTTAACGATATCTTATTTTATTTAATAATAAATGTCACATAATTTCTATTGATTTATAGCATTAAGACGTAATAATATTCCACATGGGGGGAAAATAATATTAAAAACATTATATGATATGTTCAAGTATTTATGGTCCTATATAAGATTGTTCTAGAAAAATTAAGAAAAAAAAATATTATTTTAATATCCGAATATCATTTATTATAATATTATATCCCATTTTCCGAATATTAAAGTCTACATAGTTTCCTAATTAAAAATTATTATATAATAATATTTTTCTGTTGACTAATAAAATTTTCAACTTAAATAAAAAATCAAAATTATGTATTTTCTTTTTATTGCCGCTATTTTGAATTTATATTATCGATTTTTATTAAATTTTTCATATTAAGAACACAATTATGTGGTGGAAGTAAACGATAGATTTTCAGTATAGGTACATAACATCTCAATTAAAATTCAATGATACACTTCTAAAATTTTGAAAAATAAAATCATAATTTTTGAAATTTCCGAAAATTAATTTTGAAATATGTTCATCTAGCATATTATTATGAACCTATATCCTAATATATACAGATATATAGATTTTATATTATGATGTAAGTTGTTCAAAAGTTCTAAAATAAATTTTTTTTTTTCAATATTTGTAATTGCTTTGCATTTTCAAAACAAATTTGTTAACCATTTATCAAAATAAAAGAAAAATTATTTTATTTATTTTTTTTTTTAATATTTTGAAACATTCTCATCTATTTCAATATTTTCTCGATTGGCAATGGGGGATATTAGTATTAAATAAATGATATATGAAATATTCAATTTCATTTATTTCATCCAGTTTATAACACATTATTTTTAGCACTTTTTCGAAAAATTTTTGAAAAAAAGCGCTTATTAGTTTCACTCTGTCCGTCCGTCCGTCCGTGGACATGTTTACAAAACTCTTACGCCCTTTAAGATAGAAAACTGAAATTTTACATGTACATAGATCTTTACTAGAAACTTATTTTCGTACAACAAAATTTTTACCTATCTCCCCCCCTCTAGAAGTTATACCCCCCCAAAGCACTAAAAATGGCCTATTTTAACTATTTGTTGCAATGAAACCATAAGCATTTTTGAAATTTTGCAAACGCAGAAAGGCACTGGCTTGCTTCCCCTAGCGCAATATACTATAGTTAAACTTTAAGAAAACAAAATGGCCGTTCAAATTTACCGTTATCTAAAGTCCGTTTTTTCCAAAATTTTTGATGTCGTTTTTCTTCTAGACCCCCAATTGTAGGAGCCTAAAATTTTAACAGTTGTTAGACACTAATAAACAGTTTATTTTGTTTTCCTCTCAAGTTATCGCCTCTTAAAATTTGTAAAAATTTGAATTTTCAACACCCTATATTTCCGAAACGGCAAGCTTTTTTAAATTTCTATAAACGTTTAATTATTTTTCTTAACTCACGCAATTAACCCTTAAAATTGAGCATAATGTTAACCCCACTTTATATTAATTTTTGCTTTATTTCTGAGACTGCATAAATCGTTCATCCTAAATATATGCAATCCTAGAAATAGTTTCCTATATGAATGAAAATAATATTTTAATAGTGTGATAGGTATGCAAAGATTATATTAAAAAGCAGTATTTTCACTTATTGAAAGGAAAAGTGCTACAATGCAAACCATTGGTTTGACCCAACTTTATTTGTATTCAAATTAGAATATTATTTATCAGCAAATTACCGATATAAAACAAAAATGATATTTCATGATTTTAAAATTGTCCAATATGCCTTAACTTTGGGTATATACGAGAATTAACAAAAATGTAGAATGGTTCTAAAACTTATGATGATTTAAATTTGACTTTATGGTGCTGTTTAGTACTGTAATATATTCAATATGTGCGTACTTCATATCTTACAAAAAAATTAAATCTCGCCAAAAGTTTTCTTTATTCCAAACTTAAAAAAAAAATTCTATTTTAAATATTTAGATTTAAATTTCTTATTTACATACATTTATACACATTTATTTATGATAATTTTCCCTACAAGAAATAACTACATTAAAATTGATTAACTTCTAAAATTTATTTATAATAAATTTTAAAATTTTAAAATTTTCCTAATATTTTTTAACGACCCAATAATTAATTAGTTATTTTGAGTTAATTAGAACAAGTTTAACAACAACAACAAAATACAAACATATACTTATATACCGTTAATCGATTTATCTCTTAGTTTGTCAGATTCTCTAAATTTTATTAATTTTTAAATTTTTCTTTTTTTGTTGAATATCATAAATAAGATCAACGTTAAAACACTTTAAAAAAAAATATTTAAACTAAATTAAATATTAAAAATTATGATAAAAGAAGGATGATGAAAACAGCATAAAAATAAATTGAAAAAATCATAAATTCATAAATGTTTCTTTCATATATGTATACAAACAAATGTATGTATACATGTATGTGCTTAGATATTTAAATATATTGAAAATAGCAGCGCAGCGATTTTGTATATAAAACAACGAATGATGAGGGATGAGAATTTATTTTTGGATAACATTTTACTAAAATTATACTTATAGCCACGTTTGTGTTGATACTTTTTGTTGTTTTTGTTTTTTTCTTCCTAATTTTTTTGTTTTTTATTTTATTGTATAAACAATATAATATTTTAAACACACACAGAATATGCGCGAATAATAAAAATTTGAACGCAAAATTTTGTTACTCGTTGTGTATTATTTTTAAAGATACAAAAAAATTGCACACGACGACGACAATAACGATAAAAACGATGAGAACGACGACAGCTAAGGCGATCGAATAAAACCAAATACACGAAAATTTTAATTCGTAATGAAAGAAATAATGAGAAAAAAAAGAATAACAATAAAAAATTTCGTTGGAATAGAAAATTGTTGTTGTAATTGAAAAAATTTTATTATTTTTTTTTTTTTTTTGAAATAAGAATGAAAATTCAAATAAAAATTTTCATTAACATTTTTTGATTTTCTCAATTTTTTTTTTTTTTTTTTATTTCAACACAAAAAATATAATGTTATTATCTCAATTAGAAAATAATTTATAAATATAGAAATGAAAAATAAATGTTTTTGAAATTTTAAAAAATTTTAATATTTTTGCATAAGAAAATTGTCTTAAAATTAAATGGTGATAGCTATTTCTTTTATCAAAATATGGGAAAAAATTGCATATTTTTGGGAGTCACTATGAATATTTCACTAATACCAATTCCGTTCTAGCGAAAAATCCCAAATAAGAACGGAGTAGTTTGTAAATTAAAAGGTAATTTGCAAATAAATTCTGCTGCACAAGAGTAGAATAATCAAAAAGTTGATTATTTCAACTGAAAAATCTATATTGTATTCGTCGTTTTTTGCCAAATTATAGATACAGCATGTTTTCCCTCATATTAAAAATTTAAAAATTTAAGCAAGTTTACATGCTTTCTTGTTATATTGTTCTTCGTTCCTTGGTCTTCAAATTTTATTTGTTCTTAATTTTTCTTAATTCTTCTTTATTTTTGCTTATTAACATTTTTAACCTCTCCAATTTCGTTTTGTAATACAATAATAATTGTTCTTCTATATTCATATTTAATTTACAAAACATACGATTTAAAAAAAAAATTTTGATTTTGTAAAAATAATAAAAAGAAAAACAACATACAATTTTCAAACGAACAAGTGAAAATTCTATGTTAAAATTTCCTAAATTTGATTCGGATCCAAAAATAAAAATTAAAAAAAATTGGAAAGAAAATCAAAATTGAAAATCACATATTTACAAAAAAAAAAAATTTCTATCTTTTCTCTATACAAACGAAATATAAACAAATTCAAATATAGACAAAAAGCGTGTGCCGATTTGGCCAATTTCTTACAAAAAAAGAAAAAAAATATGAGAGAAAAACTCTAAAAATAGTAATCAAAAATTTTTTTAATTTTTAGTTTTTTTTTTGTACAGTGTGTTAATTTCGTTTTTGGGGTTTTTTAGTTTTTCTTTTTGTTGAAAAATCCCACACATTTCCCTTTATATTCCTTGTGTGCACGAGGATTTTAGTGCACATATACATGCATACACACATGCAAATACAATTTCTTTTATATGTGGTTGAAATAATTATGGTTTTGTTTTTTTTCCCTATATAAAGTCGAATTTAAAAAAAAAGAAACAAATTACCTACTTATATTGTTCTTGTATACAAATAAGAATTGATCAAAATTAATAGTTCTGTGCTCATAGGGCAAAACATCGTAAATACAAATTAATAAACCTAGTCAGAAAATCACTTAGTCGCAGTTTTTATTATTGCATATATAGTAACGCTTAAATTATTAGAAATTAATGATATTAAGAGAACTGGCTTAGTTGATGTTTATTATAATAGATTGCTATTTAATTCGATTTTGACTTTGAACTGCTTTTAGGACATTTTGGGTAGTAGGTACAGAAATAGCAATTTTCTTTTTGGACCAAACAAATTATTTTTTCTTTATGATTTTTGTTTTTGTTTTTATTATTATTTTGATTTTATATTTTCTCATTTACATGGAAAAAATTAATGATCTTAAATCATAATATAGAGAATAAATATAAAAAATTTTTAATAAAATAAATTTTTACTATTTGGTTAATTAAAATTCCGCTTTTTTAACTGCATTTTATTGTAAAATGTACAAATTGAATGTGATAGAACAAAAAAACTATTTGTTTGAATTGTTTTTAATTTGTTGAGCATTGCAATAATTAAAATATAGTTCGTTTTTATTAAAAATGCTTTAAAGTTAAAACACATAAACTATAGCTGCATTGCTGCAAAATCGAAGCTAGAATATCGAATTTTATACAATATTTGTTCTAATTGTCAAAAATTATGAATTTTTTTTTCTTTTTCTTTTCTTATTATATAATGAATAGCCGACTAAAACTTCTGAAAAAGATGAAATTGAGAAAAATAAAAAGGTAAGTTATTTTAAGAATAATGTTTAAAGATCCTATCAATATTTTAAAGAACAAAATTCGAGTCTCGTAAATATTACGAGACAAGTCTCATTCCTATTTGTACGTACACGTTGTTGGAATGTAATGAGTTTAATTTGGTCTTTATTTTTAGAGAAATTTCTTTGATATGAAAAAAAAATCGCATTCAAGTAATGAAATTTTGTTGAAAAAATATATTAAGTGTCTCAGGTCCTAATAACTTGTAATAATAGCTCAGCTCGTTACCCTTTTTCTGCATACTTCAGACAGTATACAGATCCTGAGTCGCAAAAATTACACATTTTATGAAATAATACTTGTAACAATTCGATTCTAAAATATCTTCAGTCATGTATGTTATTGATTGTAACAAGTTACAGTCAAAACGGGTAATATTCTCAGTCAGTCAGTTAGTCAGGAATTGTAACGTGACATGGCTTATGCATTATAAATTCCAGTATTGCCAACGCAAGTTATTTCTATTTTAGGATTTTCTTTTTTACATTTCTTTAAAGGTTGATGCATAAGTGATTGTTGTATGTAACAAAATATAAATTTGCAAAAATTGCTTAATTGCAGATGATTGTTGCTTGCAAAATCAACCGAATGTAGTGATGAACGTAATCATCAAATCATTGGGATACTGAGAAACAACCTCTGATACAGGGTGCATCGAATTAACTCATATGTTCTTTGCACATAGCATGTACGTGCATATTTGGGCTGTATTGGACTATAATTGTAATAGTTCATATTGTGCTGTATACCAAATTGATCTCATTAATTTTGATTTAGCCTATTGCACCAGTAAATTGTTTCAATGGAAATATTCAAATAAATTTACAAATTTCGTAAATTTTTCTCTCGAAGCCATATTTTTAAAACCAAGAATACGGCATTTCTCAAACTCTAAAAATTTTCAAATTACAAACCTTGCTACTATTTATTGTTACGGCGTTAATTGTTATTTTCACTCATAAAATCAAATGTTTGTTTCCAAATCACTTGTTAAATAGAAAATTTTGTTTTTATAAATATTGTTAACAATTTCTTCTTAAACAAATTAAAATCTGTTTTTATTCCAATAAACAAAAAATTGAATAAATTTTCAACTTACTTTACACTCTCTTTAAATTTATAATTAGTTGTTTAGTGATTTTCTATTGTATTGTTTTTTATTATTTGTTTAAACTAGACAGTTTGACAACTATTTTAAAATTGTTCGAATTTTTGAAAAATTGTCGAAAATATATAGTAGATTTGAACAATAATATATGCAAGTACATATACTCTTATTAAATCATACAGACAAACATAAAGGAATGGAATCTTTATATATGCAAAATATAAGCATATTATGTTAGGTATGTTTTTGTATATTTAAAACATAGTCGCATATTACGTACCCTATTCTTTAATATTATTATGGGTATATATATAGGGACGATTATAATTATATATCGAAATAATATTTTCGGAAAAGATGTTAAAATACGTTATAATTCTATTTAAAATTTAATATTCATGCGCGTATAAACCAAAAAAACCAAAAACAAAAACAATTTTTTTTTGAAAAACTCTTAAAGCAAAAAGATGACGAAAACGTAGAACTACAATTTTTAATAATAATAATAAAAAAAAATAAAAATCAAAACGAAAATTAACAAAAATATCAAAAAAATTAAAATCTTAGCCAAGAAAATTTCCATTTTATAAAAGATTTTTTAAGAACAAATGCAGTCTACTTTGCTATTCAGTTGAAAGTTCTCAGCCAAACGGTTAGCATCGCCAAAATAAAAGAAAACAAAAAAAAAATTAATTTAAATTTTTTTATTTTTAAAATTTTAAATTAATTTTCTATATATAAATTAATTAAAAAAGAAATTAATTAAAAAATTATCTCGAAATATTTTGAGGAGGCAATCAGGAGAAAATCAGGATTAAAATTTTTTTTTGGAATATTTATGGAATTTAAAAACTGAAAATCAAACCATTGAATAATTCGGACTCAATTTTTGGAATAAATTGAAGCGGAGTATAAATATAAATTACAAGCAAAATATTTGGTTTTTCACGAAGCTACCCTTTCAACTCAAATCATACAAAAAATTCAAAATTAACAAAATCCGCGATGATCAAAATCCAATTTCAAATTAACTTTGAAAGTTTTCTTCGAACTTTTATCAACTGCAAAATTCAAAAAAATTGAAAAAATATTTTTTTCTTTAATTTTCAACATATTTCACGTTAATTTTTTTAATTTAATAATGAGAGCATTGTTGCATGCTCACATATGTTGTTAAATTAAAAAAGAAATTATTTTTAGAAAAATATTATAGCCGGTGGATAAAAAACAAAAAAATATTTTCAATTCTATTTTTAATGGAAATTTTTTTACAATTTTTTCGTTAATCTGTCTGTCACTCAATTAACAACTAAAAGGCACCGGAAAAAAAAAACACAAACGAACAAAACCAAAATATTCAACAAAAAATTTGATCGCATATAGCAACATCAATAAATTTCAGATGATGATGGTATTCTCGTCCAAAACTGGAAGCAAGTAAAAATTGAACAATCAAAAAATAGAAAAAAAAAAAAACAAAAATTAAATTATTAAGCGAGAAAAAATTGATTTAATGATGGCGTTTAAAAAAGGGGAATAAAAAACGTACAAGAATTAAAGGAAAAAAGAAAATCAAAAAATTTTCAACAATATTGAAATTCGAGAGCAACAATCGAAAATTGTTGAAAATATGTAAGAAATTACGAACAAACACAAAAAAATATGAAGCCATTGCTTAAAAGGACTAAAATTACTTAAAAAATGGATTACTTAATTGCTGCTTTAAACAACAATACCAAAATATACAAAAATTTTGCATACTTTTAGGTGAAATTTTACAATTTCAAAACTAAAACTGAAAGCGAACAGAATGGAATTTATTAAAATAAATATAAATATATATTTATACGGAGAGAATAATAAAAGAAAAAATTTAAGGAACCACAAAGAAACATTCAAAAATTAGTTCAATTTTCAAAATAAAAAAAAATTATATAGTCCAAATTACGCACATCCGACCAACAATTTTTTTTAACCAAATCTTTGCGATAATTAAAAATAGAAATGTTGTCACCACCTGTCCACAGTTTTTCGTCGAAGAAAAAAAAAACACAAGAAATAGCAAAAACTAAAAAGAAGAGAAAAAGTAATTTCGCTTCAAATTGCTTCTACACCATCAAGATAGTAATGATTATCATTGAGAAAATTATGCTAATGATTTTAGTTGATGTGTTGATTATAATCAATGATGCTGACATAATCATTTGGATCGGATTTTGAAAAATTAACATAATTTGTTTTTTCTATGTATTTTTAATTTTTTAAATTTCTATTTAAAATGAAATTTTCTTCGTCAGAGTTAAAGAGGAAAACATTTACACACACACAAACACCAAAAAGGAAAAGCAATGAAAAATAGAAACAAATTTTGTTTTTCTTACTGCGATGAACGCCAACGCACATTTGCGTAATATTTCGAGAAAATTTTCTAATTTTTTTTTTTTTTTGAAAAAATTCTTTTGGAAAATTTTATTTTTAAATAGAAAACAAAAATATTTTTTATCTTTTATTTTTTGGCTTTTTTTTTTAGGTTTTTCATTTTTTCTATTCATAATTTTTTTTTTGCTATTTGCAGATCAACTCAAGTTCTCATCACCATCAAACGGTGACTGATTACGCAAAACCAAATAAAGGTGTATCAAGTGCTTATCAAACAATAACTCAAACCGAAGAACATTTTATTCGGGAAGAGGACGATTATAGACAAGGTGATCAGTTGGATTCTATGCTAGGTATATTTAAAAATTTAATTTTGAATATTTTACAAATTTTAAAACAATTTTTTTTAAATTAAATTAAATAAAATTTTTTGCGAAAAAAAAAAAAACAGGAAACCTCCAAGCAAATATGTCACGTCAAGGAGTTAATACTGTTCAAAAGGGATGCTGCAGCGCATGTGAAAAACCAATTGTTGGTCAAGTAATTACCGCATTAGGTAAAACATGGCATCCAGAACATTTCGTTTGTAATCATTGTAATCAAGAATTGGGTACACGTAATTTCTTTGAAAGAGAAGGTTTCCCATATTGTGAACCAGATTATCATAATTTATTCAGTCCACGTTGTGCATATTGTAACGGTGCTATTTTAGATGTAAATATTTTTTTTCAAAAAATATTTTTCGAATTTATTCAATTTAATTTTTGAATTTATTAAATAGAAATGTGTTACTGCTTTGGATAAAACTTGGCATACTGATCATTTCTTTTGTGCCCAATGTGGTCAGCCATTCGGTGAAGATGGTTTCCATGAACGTGATGGTAAACCATATTGTCGTAATGATTATTTTGAAATGTTTGCACCAAAATGTAATGGTTGCAATCGTGCTATTATGGAAAATTATATTTCCGCTTTAAATTCACAATGGCATCCAGATTGTTTCGTTTGCCGGGTAAGTTTATTCCGTTTTTTTTTTTTTTAATTTTATTTTATTTTTTTTTTTAAATTTTTTTAAATTGAATTAAATATTTTTTTATTTTATTTATATATCAACTTAAATATTACATATACACATAAATATATATAGGATTGCAAAAAAGCAGTTAAAGGAAAATCATTTTATGCTATGGAAGGTCAACCTGTGTGTCCTCCATGTGCTGGTGTTGAAGAAGAAGAAGAAGAGGAATAAATTATTTAAATTATTAAAAAAAAAAATTTTTTTTTTTTTTCAAAAATTTTCAAAAGAAAAAATTAATTTTTTCTATAATAAAAAAATTATTTGTACGCGAAGAAAAAAATTTATTATTAGACCCCGGTGGTCATTATTTATTTAATTAAGAACAACAAAAATGATATTAAAATTTCAAATAATCTTTTGTGACCACAACTGACCCTCTTCGGGAATAAGTTTCGGCAAATAAATTTTAAAATAACATCAACAGAAGTAATCAAACAACAAAATATAATAATTTTAATACTATAGCGCATAATAAGTCACACACACTTACAAAATAGCAACATTAAATTGAAAAAATTAAAAACAAATCCAATCAAATAATATGGCGAATGTGTTAAATGAAAAAAAAACAACAGAAAAAAAATCAAAATCTAAGATATAAATACAAAACAAACCGTTATTAATAAATTACACAATTGGATGATGATGGAATATTTCTCTCTTTCTCTATACACACAACGAAATCAAAGAAGAAATGAGAGAAAAACAAAATATGCTTCAGAATATGCCCCTGTATTTTGCCCCTTTATTTTTTATTTTTCAGCTTAACACAAACAAAACAAAAAAAAAACTTACTGTAAGAAATGTACTAAAACACACTCTTCTCTCCTATTTACAGAAAATGAATTTTACATTTAACACTCTAAACTCAAAACAATGAGAAAAGTAATTATTATTAAAAATGTAAAATTCAAAAAAAAAAATTAAATTTTTTTTTTAATTATTTTTAATAATTTATCGTCTATATATGAGATAGGCTTAAGAATTCAGGAAAAAAAAACTTAATTTAATATTTAGGACCATTTTTAATAATTAAATTAATTTACTTGGTTTGTAAATAATTGAAATAAAAAAAAAAAAAAAAAACAAAAAAAAAAAAATAAACAAAAAAAAAAAAACAAAAAACAAAATAAATAAACAAACAAATAAAAACAAAAAAAAAAACAAAACAAATACCAAAAACACCATACACAAAACTACCATCTCCTCGAATCTCGTTTTAGAGATTCAAATTTTGAAATGGTGTAATGGTTAAGACAATTCCCATTTTGAGTGGGTGAGAAGATAAAGAATACGCATTCGAACGTTATTTCTAACAACGGTATGCATTAATGTAACCTGATATTTCAAATTATTGAAATATTTAATTTTAACCTATTAGGAACCGATGATTCCCCAAATGGGAATCAACACGATCAAACATTTTTCACTACTATAGAAATATAATTAAAGCTTTCGAATTCATTAAAATTTCATTATTATTAGAAAAAACTTTGGTTCTTAATGGGTTAATGATATACTTATTAAATTATTATTCGGAGTCGTAATCTTTATCTTACAAACCCACACAATTTTTTAAATTCAACTTTTGTTTTTGATTTTAAATGTTTTTATTATTAACTTATACATTTTTAAAACGGCGTTTTTTTTTGTTGTGAAATCTAAATTGATTTTGTCACAACGCAAATGTATAAGGTGTAATAATTTCTAAATAAAAACAAAAAGATGAAATTTTTAAAATGAGTTTGTCATTCCTGAAAATGTCTTGACCTTCACATTGCCATATGTGATAGAGTAATTGTTGCATTTTATATGTACATTAAATTTTTATTTGTTCTTTGTTTTTTGTTGCAATTAATTTCTGCACACTTATTACCAAAGAACAATAACAACGAAAATTTTTTTGAAATAATTTCATGGTTTTTTTTTTGGTTTTTGTCTTGTTTTTCTTAATTTTTTAATGTCATTTACCTGACCTAAAACATAATAACAATTTGACGGACAAGAAATCACCCTTTATTGTAAAAATTTACAATACGTCATTTTTACTCGTAATTTGTTTCTATACTTGTTGCATTCTTGTTCGATTAGTAACGTTTGTACTCGTATTTTTTTTTTTTTCTTCGCTTTGAACACGTGGTGAGGTTTTTAAATTTTTTTTTTGTTTAAAATTTGTTTGTTTATTATAGTATTTTTGTTTTTCATTTTTTTTTTTTTTTTTTGTTTATTATTTTGATACCAATACAATATGACATAATAAGAAACTATGGCTCGAAGTATTGACGACGGTCATTGCTCTTATTATTTTTTTTTTTTTGTTCTGTGTTTTATTTTATTTTTCTATTTTTAGAGGAAAAAAAAATTTTTATTTTAAATTTAGTTGCTTTATTTTTTTTTCTAAGTCTGTCAAGGTCGTCGGTTACACACCTTTATAGAGATTTTTTTTTTCTATTTTTGTTTTTTTTTTTTAATATTTTGCTATGGGTAGTTATTTTAGATTTTAATTAATTGGTTGCATACATTTTATATCTATTTCTTTAAAATGAAATGATATTTTTCATCTTAAACAAAAATGAGTGTTCGAAAAGTTAGGGAAACTTTTTTTTTTGTATTATAGTTATTTGTTCAATTTTTTCGTTAAATTCAAAGAGTCCTTTTGATAATTGATTTCAATTGCAGAACTAAATTCCAGTTGATAAGGAAGTTGATGAATTCTATGTAGTTGTAAACTGAGGTTATTAAAGAATACGGTCAAATTTTGTAGTTTCAATTTTTATTATTGCTTATATTTTTTTTTGATAAATATCCGAATTTTGAGTTTTCGCTGAGAAAGTTTTAAAAATTATGATTAAGAAAGTTTTAAGAGTTTTGATTAAGAATTAATAATTTATGGAAAATACCTTAAATAACTCATCTTTAAATATTTTATAAATTATTTTCAGTATTTTCTTAACATTTTAATAAAATGGTATAGTCAATATTTTGTTGTTATACCAAATTGCCAAACAATATTCTATATTTCTTATTTTCTATTTCGTCTCCAGATTACCTCCATTACATTCTATATTTTTTATTTTCTATTTAACATTATTTGTTGTATTTAACAATTATTCATCTTATATTTTAATAAGTTTATTTTGAAATTATACAAGTACATTATAGCCCTTAATTGTAGGTAAAATTTATAAAATATGGTAGCGTACTTCCTGTAAACAACATGGTATACTTTTGTTATATACGTTATTTATTTGTAAATTAATTTTTTTAGTATAAGAATTGTTTAGAACAATTAAATTTTAGTGAAAACAATGGTTTTTGTACATATTTACAGTTTTACAGTTTTCAAACCAACATATTCGAAAAATTATAGAATATAAATGTGTTTATGTGAAAAAAAAGTGAAATTCTTGTCAATCATCTAATTATTACACAGTAAAAGCTCATCACCACAAAAATGAAATTATTCACTAACAATTTAACTTCGTTTCGTATTGTGCGCTATTTGGTATTCTGATTCGAAATTTATTTAATAGGAAAAAAAGCAAAGTATAAAATGATTTCCTTTAAATCAAACTGCAAATTATTTATAATTTAATTTTATTTCCGAACAACATTTTTTATAGTTTTCACCTTCTTTTTAAAAAATTATTTATTTTAAAATCCTTTTTTAATTTTTATTTTAGGATTGTCGACAACCATTTCAAGGCGGTTCTTTCTTTGATCATGAAGGTTTACCATATTGTGAAACACATTATCATGCAAAACGTGGTTCATTATGTGCTGGCTGTTCAAAACCAATTACTGGTCGTTGTATTACAGCAATGTTTAAGAAATTCCATCCAGAACATTTTGTATGTGCATTTTGCTTAAAACAATTAAATAAGGGTACATTCAAAGAACAAAATGATAAACCATATTGTCATGGATGTTTTGATAAATTATTTGGTTAAGAATTTTTTAAAAATTATATAACCATTATGTATCGAAATCTAATCAAATAACTCTTATATGAAAAAAAATTTTAATTACTATAAATAAAAAAATATAAAAAAAAAAAATTGTAGAAGTTTAAGTAAATTTTAATTATAAACTGTAAAAGATATTTACAAAAAATTAAAATGTGAAAATATTTACACAAAAGAAATTAAAATATATATAGAAAAAAAACTAAAAGAAGATAAAAACATGAAAAATTATAAAACATAAATAATTTACAGAGAAGAAAAAAAAATCAAAAAAACGAACTTAAAAAGAATCGAATTGAAATAAAATTAAAAAAAGAAGAATAGAATGTATTCACTTACTGATTTAAAAAAAGAAAATTATTAAAAAATGAAGTCATTTTGTAGAAAAAAAAATATAAGTTATTTTATAAGTAAAAAGTAAAAGGAAAAAGTAGAAAAAATTGTTAATTTTTATTTAAACAATTGATAAAAAATTTTAATTAATTCAATTTTAACTATTAACGCATCTTAATCAGTTATTTTTGATTTCTATTTGAATTTAATTTTTGTAAAACTAGACGAGTTTCTTTGTTAACGAGAAAAAGATTGTATTCTGAAGCTAAAATAATTCATTCATACTAAGAGTCATGTAAGTTATTCCAAAAACTGTAATATTTCCAAATAATTATTGTAATAAAACCTGTACAATATTAAAATTAAATTTTTAAAAGCCAACAAAACATTACAATTTTCAATGGAAAACTGTTTTCAAAGAGACGATCATGTAAAACATGCCAATTTTCTGTGTTCAATTCAATTAAAAAAATAGAAATAATTCAATAAAATAAAATGTTAAATAAATTACATCATCCATTGTGTACTCGTACTTGTACACAAATTTTACTTAAATGCAATGATTATAGAAATACATACATGCATATGAAATTTATTGTATAATATATTTATAAATATTTATTCTTATAATTTATTCGAAAATTCAATGAAAATTAAATTTTTCTATATTAACATTGACAGTCTTCCTTTTAAAGTATTACAAAGAATTAATAAATTGAGAATTATAATTTTTTTTTTTATCACCAACTTTTCATTCTGTTTATATAATATTTATTATATTGTATATCTTAATCTTTATAATTATATACATACCATATACATATTATTACTAATTTCAATCTAGTCAAATCTCTATGTTTATTATTATAATTATTATTATTATTATTACTGTTATAACTACTTACTAATATTTAAGTGAAAATTTAAACGATCACCTGTTATTTTAAAAAAAAATGAATATTTTGTTATTAAAATTTCATATTTTTTGAACTCACATAACAATTACAGAAGTCATATATATTGTATATCACTTTCTTTAAAAGCAAGATGCTATTTTTGATCTTAAACAAAAATGAGTGTGTCCTGTTATTACACATTACAGAAGTTTTTTAACTGTGTAAATTAATTTTCTAATTCAATAAAAATTATAGTTCTTCCGCTACATAATCCACTAAATATCCTAAAATGTTAATAATTGAAATCTGAAAATTAAACACATAATATCATTTTAGACGAAAATATACGCACTGTTTATAGTTAAATTACTGCATAATTATATTTATTTTACTTCTTTTTCAATTATACTACTTATTTTTAAAAAAATTTAAACAAATTTATGGCAATAAAATAAAACTGAATTGATTGTCTTAGTACTAAAAATGATTTTATTGCAAGATATTAAAATTTTTGAATTCTTTTTGCATTTTGCATCTTTGACCCCTTAAAAAAGGGTTTAAAATCTAAGTTAGAACCGAATTTTCAAAAATTCAGCTTAGATTTTAATATAAAACATGTTCCTCAAACCAGTTTAATACAGATTAATT